GGTGTCAGTGTAGGATGTGCACGTTAGGGGTTGGGGTTGGGGGGGGCTTTTTTGAAAATCTGCTTAGGGCTCCCAAAATGTTAGGGCCCGCCCTGCGTTTATAGAACCGTTGTCTTCCCATAATGACTGAGCCATAAATTACTTGCACCTGTAGTTTATCATCACACTAGATTTAAGGCTCTTTACTCTGACATATATGGCGCGTTGGAATCGGTGTTGTCATGCACGGCCCTGAAACTGCATGGAATATGAGAGTGAACGTGTTAATTCTAACATTAATGATAAGTTGGGAATTTGTGATATTTACATTAGCCTATCTTAACACAGAAAGTGCAGAAAGAGACAAAAATAAAGTCACTGAGTTGCTCAAAGCGTGACAGTCACACACAGGTGGGTTGATGCCGTTCTTAAGAGTCGCGAGTGCACTTGAAGTTGGTTGTAAACAAAATCTTAAAACTTAAGCTTCCAAGTGACCCAGCAGACTCAATGACCTAATCTACTTTCGAACTCCATGTATGTGGGGCAGACCAGAGTTGGGACAGTAAATGGGGGCACGGTGAGTCCAAACAACATGATGAATTTGAGGAAATTCTCAGGGGGTCTAACACAGGAACCTGGCAATACTTAAGTAAGAATCTGGTACCTAGGCAATTTACCTGTCTTATGTTTGATTAACTGTGCATAAAATCTGTTTGTTTGTTCATCAAGAGCACCAGAGGAATTTGGATGGAGTAGTTGTGTCTGATGTCTATCTGCCATTGTTTAATTGTGACAATGAAATCCTTTCCATTAAGTTTGCCATGACCCGGTGTTCTGACGATTTGTGCTACCCTGTCAGATTTTGCTACCTCCCATTGAAACAGTAGGTAGCACAATGCGACAAAAAATGCTACCCATCAGATTATGCTTTATTAACGCCTACACCTACCCCAACCCTAAACCTTTAGATAGGTTTACATAGAAAGGGGGAATCTCCTCAACCACCACCAATGTGCAGCATCCGTGACCTGGATGATGCGACGGCAGCCATATTGCGCCAGAACGCCCACCACACACCAGCTTATTGGTGGAGAGGAGCCAATCAGCCAATCAGAATATGGGGATGATTAGGAGGCCATGATGATGCACAGAGGCAAATGGGCAAATTTGGCCAGGATGCCGGGGTTACACCCATACTCTTTTTCGAAGGACATCCTGGAATTTTTAATGACCACAGAGAGTCAGGACCTCAGTTTAACGTCTCATCCGCTTTTAAGGATCCATTTTAAGGATCAGCTGCAATAACCGCTGAGGTACCATCTTCTCCTGAGATATCAGCAATTACAGCCAAGTCTATGTCCATCTCTGCAACATCTGTTCAGTTGCCCATCACAGCAGAAATTAGCACTACTTTACCAGCCACTTTGATGGTCTCCACAACACGTGTTGAGAGCATCAGTAGATAGGTTTACATAGAAGGGGGAATCTCCTCAACCACCACCAATGTGCAGCATCCGTGACCTGGATGATGCGACGGCAGCCATATTGCGCCAGAACGCCCACCACACACCAGCTTATTGGTGGAGAGGAGCCAATCAGCCAATCAGAATATGGGGATGATTAGGAGGCCATGATGATGCACAGAGGCAAATGGGCAAATTTGGCCAGGATGCCGGGGTTACACCCATACTCTTTTTCGAAGGACATCCTGGAATTTTTAATGACCACAGAGAGTCAGGACCTCAGTTTAACGTCTCATCCGCTTTTAAGGATCCATTTTAAGGATCAGCTGCAATAACCGCTGAGGTACCATCTTCTCCTGAGATATCAGCAATTACAGCCAAGTCTATGTCCATCTCTGCAACATCTGTTCAGTTGCCCATCACAGCAGAAATTAGCACTACTTTACCAGCCACTTTGATGGTCTCCACAACACGTGTTGAGAGCATCAGTCCTATGGAAACACTTCTCCAGCATTTACTTCCAACTGATGCAAAAACATCTAGAACAACTCCTTCAGATAGCACAGCAGACATTGTTTGGGGAAATCCACACCTGCATTGACAATTACTGTGGCACTAACTTTAGCTGAAATTAATGTCACCACAACATAAGTTCAATAACATTTGTAACCAGTCCATCAGTTCTCACAACAGGAATCGTACCGGAAACTTCTACACCTGCAATGATTATAGCTGGAGCAACAACCTCAGCCTGAAACCATGTCTATCTCTACACTGTCTTCTGAAACTGCTATTGCATTTACATTTACATTTATTCATTTGGCAGACGCTTTTATCCAAAGTGACTTACAGTTGGGGAATACAACAAGCGATGTATCATGTATCATCAAGATGGCAGTAAACACGAGAATTGCCCGTTATACAAGCTTTCAGACATAGTTCAAAACAGTAAAACGCTAGGACAGGAGGATTATAAGAGAACAGAAAAAAATGAAGGCATAGATTTTTTTTTACAAATTATTATTACTATTGGAGGCAGTTAGGTGCTCTCTCCACAACACGTGTTGAGAGCATCAGTCCTATGGAAACACTTCTCCAGCATTTACTTCCAACTGATGCAAAAACATCTAGAACAACTCCTTCAGATAGCACAGCAGACATTGTTTGGGGAAATCCACACCTGCATTGACAATTACTGTGGCACTAACTTTAGCTGAAATTAATGTCACCACAACATAAGTTCAATAACATTTGTAACCAGTCCATCAGTTCTCACAACAGGAATCGTACCGGAAACTTCTACACCTGCAATGATTATAGCTGGAGCAACAACCTCAGCCTGAAACCATGTCTATCTCTACACTGTCTTCTGAAACTGCTATTGCATTTACATTTACATTTATTCATTTGGCAGACGCTTTTATCCAAAGTGACTTACAGTTGGGGAATACAACAAGCGATGTATCATGTATCATCAAGATGGCAGTAAACACGAGAATTGCCCGTTATACAAGCTTTCAGACATCGTTCAAAACAGTAAAACGCTAGGCATGGATTTTTTTTTACAAATTATTATTACTATTGGAGGCAGTTAGGTGCTCAAGGAAGAGATGAGTTTTCAGTTGTTTCTTGACGATTTTGAGGGATTCGGCTGTTCGGATGGAGTTAGGTAAGTCATTCCACCAACAGTACGGTGAAAGAAAATGTCCTGGAGAGTGATTTTGTGCCCTTCTGCAATGGGACCACGAGCCACCACTCATTTGCCAACCGCAGGCTTCTGGAGGGGATGTAGATGTATAGGAGAGAGCGGAGGTAGGAGGGTGCGGAACCAGTGGCAGTTCTAGGCAAGCACCAATATCTTGAACTTGATGCGAGTCGCGATTGGAAGCCAGCACAGAGAGATGAGAATTTCTGTCTTTGCCAGGTTGAGCTGCAGGTGATGCTCTTACATCCATACCGAGATGTCCGTCAGGCAGTCTGAGATCCAATTGCTGTTGAAACTAGTGATGTTGCAGAAATGGCTTCTGTAGAACCCATGTCAAGTGACGAAATAACTGCTGGAGCCACTCTCCCAGCTGATACTTACACTGGCAGTAATGACATTTGGCATTGGATGGGGTTTTTCAAATGACCCACCAGTTTCGTACCTACCAGTTGTAACCACAACTGAAACTGACAGCCTACAGTCAACTAAGGTGGAACCACCACAATTCCTCAAAATAAGCAAGCAGCTTTGACGGATGCTCATGTGGAAGTTGTGTCTAGAATTACAACTGTTCCAGAAATTACTCTCCCAACACCCATGTCAGGTAAAGATATAACATCTGAAACCATTTCCCCAGTAGATACTTACACTGGTAATGCAGTTAACTTTGAATGGGGATTCTCTGATATCCTGTCAGTTCCTTGCCAACCAGAAGAACCAGATAGAACTGATGCACCACTTCCTTAGCTGACATTTCTAATGAAGGGAAGCTGATTTGAACCACTTCCTCAATAAATCACTTGTTGTAATGGAAATAGTCACACTTCAAGTTTTAGAAACTTTGATTCCATTAAGAGAAAATATACGTCTGCTTCTGCACACCAGCAATTAATTGTCCCTGTCCTTGATTCTAGCTAGTGTTTATGCTGCAACATTTGTCTTGTACGCTAATATTGCCTTACAACTATTAAATGGTGTGTATGTATATATGTGATAAAGTCATCTTAATTTGCTTATATAATGTCTTTTAAATATGATTCCCCATGTTAAATGTAAGAACAATGTGCTTTTCTATTGGCTTCTTTTGTGATTATATGTATTAAAATGTTTTTTTTTTCTATTAAAGATGTTTAAACATATGCTTGTGTTTGCTCTTCACATGTGTAAATGCTTACCTAAGGTTTTGCCCTAAAAAATGATAATGACTGTATAAAATAGTAATGATAATAAAACATTGCATTGTCAAAAGTCAATATTAAATTCTTTCATGACTCTTTTCTAGTTTGAGGTTTCACGTTTCAGGTGAGGTCAGTTAGCATATATGCACAATGTATGTGGTTTAAATGGATAACAAGAATAATACCCCTTCTAAAAACAAAAGGGTTCCAGCAACTTTGATGTGCGACTGCTTAACAATAACTAAATGCTTTTTACCTGGTCTATTTCTTCCAATACATATCTTCAGATATGCAGAATTGATTGCATTTCATATCTGAATTTAATTAAAATATAAATGTAATTTGAAAATAAACTGCATCAAATATAGTTTTTATGGAAACATTTAAATGTTGGGGTGATGTCAACCAAGGGCAACATTGTTGCTGAGGCCATTTTTTTCTTCGAAATAATAAAAAGGAAAGATTGTAAATTAGCCTAACTTTAACTTTTTGTGAAACGTTTTTCTTGAAAAGTGAGAAATACCACTTGGTTTCATTTATTATTGTCTAATGCAGTGGCATTCATACATTTTAAGTGTTGCTTAAATAGTTTTTGAGGCCACTGTCCAGTATGTGAATGCCTCTGCCTCACTCAGACCTTTATTTTGAAAGCCATTAATCTTGCCTGAACTCATGCGTTGCTGCTGATGGCGTTCTTCACACCGCTGTTCCGAGGAGATCTTGGGATACAGAGCAGTTCAATTTCAGTTAACTTCAAGACGTTGAATTGTTTTTACTCAGTAAGTATGCAGTTGTATTTTGAGTTGTTTGCCGTTGCAAGCTGTATTAATGAATTTCGGTGAACGACTTATTACTTAGGAGTTTTAATAGTAAGCGAAATATTATTATTATTAATAATAATAATAATAATAATAAAGTTAAAGCGATGGTTGAGATTGACATTGTCAAATACGTTTGTGTAACGTTACTACATATTTTTAAACATCAGTTAATAGCGCAGCGTCTCTCAGCCCTAGGGGAATGATTTTTTCAGCAGTTAACGTACTGAGTTGGGAGGAGTTTTAGTTTCCTCTCCTGAAAACAAAAATCTTTATTACAGGTCAATCTCCCTTTCTTTTAGGTCAGTTCCTTTGTCACTGAGTGATTGGATCACTGTGCAGCAATGTCTTGCCTTCCAACTCTCTTCAAATACGTCGATGAGCACCAGGACGACTATGTTGAGGTATTGAGATTTTCTTTACTAATGTTACATTGTATTAGCCAAAACTTGGAAAATGTGTATACTTTAAGCTAAGATAGTTTTTATTTTTTATGACCTATTTTGTTTTTATTCATATACTTTCCTATGTGTTATTTAAAATGTTTGATGAAATTAGAATTATTTGACATGAAGGTATTATGTTTGTTTTCTAATGGAAATGTGATCACTTTGTGTTTGAAGCGCCTGGCACAATGGGTTGCTATACAGAGTGTGTCTGCCTGGCCAGAGAAACGAGGAGAAATAAAGAAGATGATGGAGATGGCAGCCAAAGACATTGAGAGACTGGGGGGAACTGTGGAGATGGTTGACATTGGCATGCAGAAGGTGTTTTATTTTTCTTCAGAATTAATTATGTTAATAAATGAATCTGAATCTCCTGCCATTGAGTTGGAATTTTTATTTTAATGTCTGGCTTTGGAATTTGTAGTGATAACAGCCTTCAGCGCAACCATTACAAGCTGCTTCCTGCTTGGTTGTTTTTGTGGTTGACCATCTGACTGCATGTGTCACATGCCTTACAAGATTGCAGCCGTAGTTATGCTTGAATGTACTAAACTAAGGATCACATGAAAATGATCAAGTGAAAGTGAAAATGTGTATGCTTAAATTAGTGGTTCCGCCCAATATTTTGTCATTATCTGATGTTGTTCCAAATCCATATGCTATTGTTTATCTGAGAAATTGTGAAGGGTCCAGAAAAAACAAAAAACAAACTTTTTATATATATATATATATGACAAAAAAAACGAAACATATAAGATGTTTTATAAAATATTTAACAAATATTTTGAAAATAAATGTAAAGTCAAATGGTTCCTATTTTTGAGATAAAAAGTAACAAAGTTGACAGTCAGACATAATCTTACATTTCTCATGCATTGCTTTTTTCTTGTTTTAATTTAGTTGCCAGGTGGTGAAGAGATCCCTCTTCCTCCGATAGTTCTGGGCAAACTTGGCTCAGACTCAGGCAAGAAGACTGTGTGCATTTACGGTCACTTGGATGTGCAGCCAGCCAACATTGAAGATGGCTGGGACTCACCACCCTTCACTCTGGTGGAGATAGACGGTATGAGTGTGCATGTACAAGTCATTGTTTTTTAAAAAAGGTGTACAGTAGCAGTCTCTTGGGGTTGAGGAGACTGATGCCAGCATCACTTTATTAATGGAGCCTTTGAGTGTATGGAAGAGACCTGTTAAGAGCAAAAGAGGTTATACAATTGATTTTGCTTTTTGTGCAATAATCTGCAAGCAGTGCTCACTCCGGGTAATATTTCACATTCGATTTGGCTAAAATTAGTCACCACTAACATGTTACATTTGTGTCCCTCCAGCCCGAAGAGATTTCAAGACAAATCCTATTGTCTCTTTTTGCTGAGATAGATCTGATGCTTGAGCGTAGCCTTGTGACCTGTCAGCTGATTCCATTAGTTTTTTTTTTCCAAGCTGGGACAAATGAATATTCATCTTAAACAAAACAAAGTATTAATTTTACATTTGCAAATCATTAAAAACTTACTTTTTTTTATATAGCACATTTAAATCTTTCTGTCAAATTTACCTCCTTAATCTCTTTTTTTTTTTTTTTTTTTTACACAAAATTTCACCAATTCT